ATTGGAAAAGTTGATGTTGTTGCTGGTGGAAATAACCAACAATTTGCATGGTCCAATGGAAATAAACCAGATTCTTTTGTAGTTAATGGTACCAGGAGCATGGCGGTCGGAGGGCAGATTAATACTATGCTTTCTGATGCCTCTGATAACTCAGGAAGAAAGAAAAGTTCAGAAAACTCTTGTGCTATTTCAGTACCAAAGAGAAAATCAGATGATTCTTATGATATTTTAGGGACAAAAAGAAAATCCGAAGATTCTTCTGATGTCTCTGGGGCAAAGAGAAAATATGAAAATTCCTGTAATTTCTCGGGGACAAAGAGAATATCTGAAGATTCCTGTAATTTACCAGGGCCAAAAAGAAAATCAGATGACACTATTGATAACTTTGTTCCAATGACAAAGCCGAAAGACTCCTCTTTGAACGTAGGGGGAAACAGAAAATTTAAAGACTCGTGTGATCACTCAGGGCTAAAGAAAACAGAAGACACTGGTGATTTCTCGATGCTAAAGGGAAAATCCTGTGTTTTGCTTTCCCAGGATGCTCAATCTCAAGCAGAAGTTGAAAAGATGAAAGAAATGTAAGCTACCTTTTTATCTCAATTGCTCTAGGGATGCCTTTTATCTAGATGTTGCATGTTCTATGTAACTTAATAGGTTCTCTTTCTTTTAATATATTGTTTTTTGTGGTTTTTCATGCCTGATATGTCTTTGAATTGTGAGTTCAATTAGTTCGAACTAGGGTGTTTTGCTTGACCACATTTGGCTGTAGTTATCCAGCTCAAACTTGTCAAAGTTATGTAGTGTTTCTTTACTATCCACCTATTACTTGGGTTGTGTTTAACTTCATCAGAAGTTGTGCTTTTATTCATCTTAATATTTTTTATATTTTTACATGCTTGATTCTGGTATAAATTTACCAGGTTGAAAAACAAAGCTTCCTCAGTTTTGCGATCTTGTGGTTGGTATGTTGATGTTTACAATTTCATGTATTCAAAGAAGCAGTCATATGCACAGGAGACTGGAAGCACCCAGAGTGACAATGATTTAGAGTAAGCCTTTCTTATACTGTTAAGTAACAGTCTTTTATGTGCAAAATTTAATTCTATCTGCACTTCAAGTATGCTTGATTTTCTTTAGGAATTTATGTTCTTTGTTGTGGCTAGTTTTTGATGCATTTGAGTTGCTGTAGATTTCCCATCTAAATTAGTTACAACTTACATATAAAGGATGGAGTTTCTTTTTTTGAATAACCCATGCTGATTGGATTTGGCGCAAATAGCTTTTGAGTAAAGAAATTGATTTCCAACGCTTTTTAACAAATCACAGTATTTCTGTTTTCATCACAACACGTAACTGAATCCTTTTCAGAAACAATTACACATTGAATATATGTAGGTGTGCTACCCAGTTTTCTGAAATTGGTAGTCAAAGTAGAGAAGTCAAAATGTGTCATGAACCAATTTTAGGTACTCTTCCCCAAGTTAAGTTGCTTCAGCCTTTTCTTTTCCCTCATCCCTGTCTGATACTATACTAACGTCCTATACATAGATATGGAGATATTTCCTCCTTGGGATATTCCAAGGAAAAAGGGATGGCAGAATGACCCGAACCCAACGGAGAAATCGAAACCCGGCCAAGTTCGGGTCGGATCTGGTATCGGGGTAAAATTCGGAGATTTTTTCGGGTTCGGGGCAAGGTATCCCCGCCCCGCCCCAATTATATATATATATAAAATATTTTTTTTATTTTTTATATTAATTATATATATATAACTTTATATTTTTTATATTAATTATATATATATAATATTTTATATATTTTATATTAATTATATATAATATATAATATTTTTATATTTTTTCTATTTTTTTAATGAAAAATACGGTTTTTCTCGGGATTGGGTATAACATTTCGGGTCGGGGACGGGACAAAAAAAATCCCTGATGGGCGCCCCAATAAAAAACTCGACGGGGATCGGGGCGAGGACAGGGATTTATTTCGGGGACGGGGGAGCAAAACCCGCCCCGAACCCGTCCCGTTGCCATTCCTAGGAAAAACTCAGGACAAAATGACCATATTCGCATTCAGCACACAACACCCGATTTTAAGTAACATAGGTTTCTAGTGCATTTCATTTATTTCATTAAAGTATTAAAAAATGCTTTTATTTTCTTTCCTTTTCTCGATGCACTATCCAAATCTCATATATTTTCATATTCATTTTTCTCAACCGAAATTTTCTATTGAACACTCAGGTTTAACGTGTAATTTACATTGTAGATCATGGAACTTAACTTCAACTTTCATTTTGATCACAAACCTTTAGTTATATCAAATTAGACCATTTAACTTTTATTATTAATAAAGTCAGTCACTTCTACTAATACCCTTAAATAGTTCTAACAAAAAAACTTAAATTGACACTTCAACCTAACATGTTTTTCACATATCATTGTCGAATAACGTTTAATTGATAATTTCAATAATTTTTGTTAGATTTTTCTCGAACATTTCATTCAAGTAAATCCAAAGGAAAAAGAACATTATCTGATGATGATATGTTCTACGGTAGGGTGAGCAAAACTCGACTCGACTTGAAAAATCGATTTTTATTTTTCAATTTCTCGTTATTCAAGTTGAGTTATTCAAGTCAACTTGAATTATAAATTCGGTTTTCGAGTTCGAGTCGAGTTGAAATTTTGAATTTTCGAGTTACTCAAAAATAAAAAATTTGACCAAGTACTTTGATAGTTTTACGATTTAGTCTGATTTTATTATTTCTTCAATTCCTCCTCCATTTTAAGTCCATTTTTTACCAAATTTGAACCACATGCTCCTAAACAATAGTAGAATACATGTGTACTTTCAATTCCACTTTTTGATGACAAATTTTATATTTTTCAATTTAGTCTTTCAATTTTTCATAATCTTCTTATTTCTTCAATTCGTCATTTATTTTAAGTTCTTTTTTTTACCAAATTTGAGCCATAAGCTCCTAAACTATAGTAGATTACATGTGTACTTTCAATTCCTCTTTTTGATAACAATTTTTTTATTTTTCAATTTAGTCCTTCAATTTTTCATAATCTCCTTATTCCTTCAATTTGTGATTTATTTTAAGTTACTTTTTTACCAAATTTGAACCACATGCTCATATACTACAATAAAATACCTATGTAACTTTAATTGTTATTTTTTTTTAACTAAAGATATACTATTTTTTTATATAGTCCCTAAACTTTTCATTTTACTCAATTTGGTCTTTTGACTACAATTATTTGTAAATTCTTTCTTCTCATCAATTCCTTGACTCATTTATACTCTTATCAATATTTTACCCTCAATATACTTTCATTAAAATATAATATTATGAATATATTTTATAATTTTTTATTGTATTTGATATATTAAATAACATCATAATATGAAAGAATAATATATATATATATATATATATATATATAAAGTCAAAAAAATTGGAACAAATCATTGCCATAATACTATAAATAATTATAATAAAATTAGTACATAAACTCGAATAACTCGACTCGAAAAAATTTTAAGTTATGTTCGAGTTGTAAAATACGACTCGTCAACTCGAATAACTCAAAATTTTTTGACACGACTCGACTCGATCGAATGCTCACCGCTATTTAACGGTGTTAGAATAAGTGATTTCTTATATTAATAATAAAAGTTGAATAATCTAATTTTATTGAATTGAAGGTTTGTGATCTAAATGAAAGTTGAAGTCAGACTCCATGATCTAGAAAGTAAATTATCCAATGTTTAACACATGTGAATGTTTTTTCTGGAAATATGACTTTTCAAAGACCTACATACATGAAGGGCGTACTTGAATTCCAAATTTGAGTAACATGGCTTTATCGTAATTATTTTGTTTTATAAATAGAACTTTGGTTCATTCCTTAACTACTTTTATGCAGGAAGAAGCTGATTGCAGATGCAAAGCCAACCTTTATTCCACAAATATCCGAGTCACTGAAGGAGGTATTAATTAAACATCTCCAATCTTTCAGCCAAACAAACGGAGAATCTCCAGTTCCTTGACTGGTAATGTGACAAATAACTTTTAAATATTCAGTATCCTTTTATTCCGAATTCTGGTAATTATTTGATGCAATGAACTTGGCTAACAACTTACATTCTTGCCAATGCTTTCTGCAGTCGTGGTGTATAATCTGTATTGTAGATCGGTATTGTAGCGAGAGAACATTAGCCGGTGTACATTAATCCTCTCTTTGAGCAACTTACTGCGATGCCTGTTGTTGTCCCGATACCCGAGTTCAAATATTGCCGAAAGACTCAACCACTAAGTTGATTTTTCTTTTTCTGGCAAAGGAGTCTTTAATTCATTTTGTAAGATGTGCATTTTTGCGGAATACAAATTATTATCGTTAAAATCTTGATTTTTCATAGATGCATAAATGACAATTTTCCCATAAAAATTGTGGTGTCTATAATGAAAGCTATGAAATTGAGCTATCTTTGAGTAAATATGAATTGCTTGGTTCATGGAAAAGATTTTTTTTTGAAAGGTGAATAATTTTATTAGTATAAATGAGAACACTTGCATTGTTAGTATTCTCATTAAAAACCTCTATTCCTAAAAGTTGAAGAAAAAGAGTATACCCTAGCCAATGATCAATGGAAAAGACCATTATCAAAACATTCCTAAAAGGGGAAGAAAAAGAGTGTACCTTAGCTAATAATCAATGGAAAAGATCATTATCAAAACAAAAGAAAATATCAGTGATCAATGGAAGAGATCATTATTAAAACAAAAGAAAAGATCAGTGATCAAAACAGGAGTAATGTTAAATTTTACTGAGTAAATTGGAAAAATTGAAAAGTATGGTGAATGAAATAACAGAGAGTAAATTTCAGTGATTCAATGTGTAATTTATCCCCTACACATTGACTACAACCATAATCCCTTCAGCTTGAAGAAAAGAAAAGTTTCTGAGTTGATTCATAAACCTTTGAATCTGTTAGAGGTTTTCTAAAAATGGAAAATGAAGAGGTAATTCTGTTGGATTTATGGGCAAGCCCCTTCGGGATGAGAGCCAAGATCGCTTTGGCTTTGAAAGGGATAAACTACGAGCACAGGGATGAAGATTTGAGCAACAAGAGTGATTTGCTTTTAAAAACCAACCCTGTTCATAAGAAAATCCCGGTTCTCATCCACAATGGGAAACCCATTTGCGAGTCACTCATTATTGTTGAGTATATTGATGAGATTTGGCCTCACAAATTTCCCCTGCTCCCTCTTGATCCTTACCAAAGAGCCTCTGCAAGATTCTGGGCTGATTTCGTCGACAAGAAGGTATTTTATTCTTGATGATATGACATGATTAGATTCTGATTAATTTTTTTAGTTATTACAGGCCATAAATTTAGATTACTCTTTGCTGGTTATGAAATTCAATCTGCTCGAAATCATATGCAGTAATTGATGAATGCCTTCCCTATGGAGCAGAGTACATCCCTTTATCAAAATTTACCTTTAATGATGTGAAATTCAAGCTACTCGAAATAGTACCTTAGAGAGCAAGTTTTTGAACTCTAATGGTGGTTGTCTCCTATGCTAAATAGTATGTATAAGCTAATCTAGGTTTCGCATCAACATCTAGGTGACAAGTTGAAAATGATTAATTGTTTCTTTCCGGTCAATTTATCTACCTTAAAAGCTTTGGTGTTTATTTATTTAAAATATTACTACTTTGCCTGCAATGTCAAGAATAATTGCAGATCCTATCAATACTATGAAGAGATCTGATAGCTATATTATGGGAATCTATATTATTCCATAAGTAAATATTCAGATATGATTATAAGAATATGATCTTCTTAGTAAATGAGATGAATCCCTTTGGTGAATGAAATACAGATATATGGTGCTAGGAACAGGAAAATACGGACAGCAAAGGGAGAAGAGCAAGAAGCTGCAAAGGAAGAGCTCATCGAGAACTTGAAACTGTTGGAAGGAGAGCTCGGAAACAAGGCTTATTTCGGTGGGGAACATCTCGGTTATGTCGATGTTGTGTTGGTGCCGATTTATAGTTGGTTTTATACCAACGAAAAGTTTGGGAATTTCAGCTTCGAAACCGAGTGTCCGAAGCTGATTGCATGGGCAAAGAGGTGCTTCGAGCAAGAGAGTGTTTGCAAGTCCCTGCCTGATCAAGACAAAATCTACCAGCATGCTTTGCAATTGATGAAAAGGTCTGGATATGAGTAAAGTTCAAGACAAGAACAACAAGAGCCAGACTATGTCATTAGCTGTGTTTTGAAATAAATGGGGGCACTTAGTTGTGCTTTGGGATTGTGATTTGGTACTTGCAGGGTTTCAAATCGTGGTCGCGGTTGCGTTCGGTCATTTCGTGTTTACTGCGATTGCGGCCATAACGGGCGCTATTGCGACCGTAGCGGGCGCTATTACTGGTGTAGCGAGTATATCGGAAGGCATTGTTACCGTTATTTCGCGGACGCTATCACGGTCACGGACCGTTATTTAAAACCCTGGGTACTTGTTTTGCTTGGAGTGGAACTAAAATTGATTGAGAAAAGTAAGAAATTTAGTTTGATTGAGAGTAGGAAGTCTATTCTATTTTTTTTGTAGATTGGGAGTATGAAACATAGTTTGAGTAGATTTTTTTGTTATGCAAGTTTTATTTGGGGGTGAAATTAGAGCAACTACGCAGGACTAAAACACTAACCAACAAGTTACATATGAAGCAATGTCTTTATTCGGTTAAATCGAGCGAAAACTCGTCTCTTAAAAGTCATTTAATTGTTTTTAAAAGAAGATTTAGAGTTGATTGTACTACCTTCTGTCTTATTTTCGTTCATCCTTCAAAGATATCACCTTAATTAGTCAGGAAATCATTACAGTTAGTAAAGTATATGATTTCATACACTCGCATAATAAGATGAGACACGTTGTAGTCGCCTCCGAGTCTCAAATGAAGGGTCTCGTTGCTTATGGAACGATTGACAATCCCGAGAAGAAGAAGAAAACTCAACAGGAAAAAAGTAGTTCAAAATAAAAATATATAAAATATAAAATTTTTATAAGAAAAATGATACATCAAGTTTAAGTGTACAAGTTGCAAAATAAAAATAATTAAATAGAAGACTACAAAGCAAAACGGGAAATAACCACAGTAACAAGGAGCTGTTAATTGCTTATAAAGCACGTGAAGAATGAATTCTCGATTCTGATTGCGTTTTTCTTAGGTATTCTAACTAGGACTGGTTTATAGTATATGAAACAGTTTTTAAAGTTGGTGTTTTGATGAGAAATATCTCTTCGTGTAGAATTACAGGTATCGAGCAATCAAAATTAAGATACATTATAATATTCATCATAACGTTTGGTGATGTAAGACACGTACAAGACTTAAAAATAGATCTTAATTCGTGATACATTTGATTTAAATGAGTACGAGTATACTGTGAAGGTGGAGTTGTGAAGATTAGCAAAGATATAGGTAAATTGTTGTGATAATTCTGGTAAATGGACGTTTGGTTCATTAGAAGAGAGAATTCATCATCACCTTTGCGAATTGAGTAAATTGGATTGAGAGGGCCCCTCGCCTTTACAGTACTCGATCTGGATTAGTCGATCAATATATCGGATAACAGTGATTAATTCAAACAAAAAAATATATATAAAAGATACTAAATTGATGTAATTTTCCCTCCTTGTTTTCTTGCGGTTTACTTTTCCGAGAATCATGTATTGAATTGTATGTTAGGAAAGTCATAGGAAGCTGATCCTAATCTTTGACTATAACTCTGCACTCCCCCAGACCCTTCGGCTTCACACATCACAAGGGGAAAAAACAAACAAACAGGAAAACCATTTTAGATTCGTAAACCTTTGAATCTGTAGGAGGTTTTCTTTTTAAAAAAAATGGAAAAAGAAGAGGTGGTTCTGTTGGATTTCTGGGCAAGCCCCTTCGGGATGAGAGCCGGGATCGCTTTGGCTTTGAAAGGGATAAACTACGAGCACAGGGAAGAAGATTTGAGCAACAAGAGTGATTTGCTCTTAAAAACTAACTCGTCCTCAAGGGAAACCCGTCTGCGAGTCGCTCCTTGTGGTTGAGTATATTGACGAGATTTGGCCTCACAAATCTCCTCTGCTCCCTCTTGATCCTTACCAAAGAGCCACTGCTAGATTCTGGGCTGATTTCATCGACAAGAAGGTATTTTTCCTTTGATTCTGAGCTTTTAGTCTTCATAGCCCTGTTTTCAGTCCATATATTTACATAATCTTTTCTTTGAGTTTTCATTAGTAAAAAATATTACTTTTCTGTCAAAATTATAGTTTTGGTTTTTTTCTTTATATTTCTCCCTTAAAATAATACTTTTCTCTCTAAAAAAATTAAGTCCAAACAATTAAATCTCCATGTCATTTTAAAATTTTAATTATTACATATTTTTTTTCATATTTGTATTGATAATCTGATTTCATCTTTAGAATTTTATAAATTCATCGAGAGACGAAGGTAGGACTTTATGTAAAAGGTACAAACTTGAAAATTTATATTAAAATTTTAGAAATACAAAGTTATAATTTTTTTTGGATAATCAATTTTTTATTACCCAAGAACAGAATCTGTTACAAAAATCAGTGTTCAAGAAGCATCAGGAACAAATACATACAAAAAATCAGAGTCAAAAAATATCCCAATGCTTACAAAGATTAGTATTAACACTATCAATGCTATTTAAATTTCTACCCCTAAGTTGAGATCCGACAGTGTCCTTTATGGCTCGAAGCAAATCAGACGCAGCTCTTGATCGGCCTTGAAACAGTTTCTCGTTCCTTTCTTCCCAAATAAAGTAAATCAAAGCATTAAGAGCAAGCTTCAAAATGGAAGTAAGCAAAGACTTACCTTTCCAGTAAGAGCAGACCCAAGTCAAAAAAGAATCCCAAGAATGAGTTCTGAATCTAAGATCAGAAAGAGAGAAGATAGAGTTCCACAAGAAGTCAGCCATAGGACAAAGAGGAATAAGTGATCCCTAGTTTCTAATGGTTCATCACAAAACATACATTGACAATCACTGATAAGCCCTATACGAAAAAGTCTATCTTTAGTAGGGAGACGATCAAGTAAAGCCATCCAAGAAATTAAGCTATATTTAGGTATATGGAGAGGAAACCAAATAATTTTCTGCCATATTACAAGGGGCCTTTTTACCCGAATTTCATCCCATATGTTCTTCACTGAAGGAGTAACAGCAGACATAATAGCAAAAGCCTCGTGCCTCAATTTAAATAATTTCCTTAAGCTCCAACTACTCGAAGGATTAATTTCTGCAGCCCAAAAATTGTTACCTTTAAGAACATAACAGTTAATCCAGGCGATCCATAGCGAGCCTTCACCTGCAAAAATTTTCTTGATAAGTAGGAGCATACAAGCTTTGTTCCAGGTCTGAAGGTCTTTTATACCAAGCCCCCCCTCAGATTTCAGCAAGCATATATTTTTCCATCCTACACGGGCTCCAGAAGTAGATCTATCGGCTCATTTCCAGAAAAATCGGGAGTATAATTGTTCAATACGCTTGAGAACAAAGTTGGGCAGAAATAACTGTCTACACCAATAACTACTGATGCTAAATAAAACAGCTATGATTAGCTCCAATCGGCCAGCATAGGAAAGAGATTTAGTAGATCAAAGATGCAGCCGAGCCTTTATGCTGTCAATGAGGACCACACAATCTTTTTCAGAGACTTTCCTTGTGAGTAAAGGAATCCCAAGATATCTAACTGGAAGAGTACTAATTTTAAAACCAGTGAGGAGGTTAATGTTTTCAAGAGTGGATAGGTTCATACCAGCAGCAAAAAACTCGCATTTAGAGGAATTAAGCCTAAGGCCAAACATTGAATAAAACACATCAAGAACACTTGTTACCCCAAGCACATAGTCAACATACCCTTTGCAAAACACAAGAAGATCATCAGCAAAGGAAAGATGAGTAAGACCAATTCTTTTACATTTTGGGTGATAACCAAAGATGTTTTTAGCAGCTGCAAGATTTAAGAGCTTTGAGAGGACGTTCATCGAGAGAACAAATAAGAGAGGGGATAAAGGGTCACCCTGTCTTATACCATTTGCTCCATTGAAATAGCCAATTAAACTTCCATTGAGAGAAACAAAATATCTAGCAGTGGAGAAGCAAAGTTCAATCCAGTTAACAAAAATGCTTGGAAGTCCAATGGCTTTCAAAATAGCCAAGATAAATCCCCAATTTAAAGAGTCAAAGGCCTTGTGGAGGTCAATTTTCAAAGAACATCGAGGCGAAATGCTTTTTCTATTGTAACCTCTAACTAGTTCTTGAGCTAAAAGAGTGTTGTCAACAATACTTCTACCTTTAACAAAAGCGGTTTGGTTGAGGGTTACCATATCAGGAAGAATGCTAGTAAGCCTATTAACCAGAATCTTAGAGATGGCTTTATAGAAAACAGAGCAACAAGAAATCGGTCTAAAGTCTTTAATAGTACCGGGGTTTGGAATTTTAGGCACAAGAGCAATGATCGTTGCATTGAAAGCTGGAAGAAGGGAGAAATCTTGGAAGAATTGTTTCATGTCCGAATAGACATCCTGACTGATGATAGGCCATGCCTTTTTGAAGAATAAAGGAGAGTAACCATCCGGACCAGGAGCTTTGTCATTTCCCTGACAGAAGAAAACATCTTTAATTTCCTCATTAGAGACTTTCTTAACAAGGTTTTCAAGTCTGTCAACAGACAAAGAGACTTGAAGGATGTTTTTTTAGAACAATTGGGTTAGGAGTATTCACCTCAGGATCATTCGTGCCAAAGAGCTTAGAAAAGTAATTGATCACCTCATTAGACATGGAGTCAAATGATTCCAGCCGATTTCCTTGTTCATCAGTCAGAATTCGAATGGTATTTCGCTTATGGTTACGATTAATAGCAGAATGCAAAAATCTAGAGGACTTATCCCCCTTCCTAAGCCATAAAACCTTGGTCTTTTGTCTTAAGAACGTACACTCAGCATCTTCTAAGATCTTAAGCTCTGATTGAAGATTGATAACCTTCTCAATAGTATCCTCACCTCTTAAGGATTTAATCTGCTGGAATTCAAGCTCATATTTCTTTTGGTTAACACAGGCAGTAAGGTTACTATAGCAAGAGTGATTGAGGCTTCTAAGGTTGTTTTTCAGGCGCTTTAATTTAGAAAAGAGGATCAGCATCGGGTTACCATGGGCAGGGCTGTTCCAAGACTGTTGTACCACACGTAAGAATTCAGAATTTTGAGTCCAAAAATTAAAGAACTTGAAAGGCTTGGGTCTATTAATTTGGAGATCTTTGAAAAGTCAGACCAACGCCAAGCAGTGATCAAAGACACCAGGGGCGAGGAATTCAACGTGGGAAGAGTTGAAGGAATTTACCCAATACGGATTAATAAGGACTCTGTCGAGTTTTCTAGCAAGGAAAGAGGACCTCTGTTTGTTGCTCCAAGTGAAATTAGGGCCAAAAAACGGGTGGTCAATGAAATCCAACTCATAATAGACATCTTGGAAGTCTCTCATATCAGAAGAAATGATTAGACCTAGAATCTCAGTGTCAGAG